CACACACACACACACACACACACACACACACACACACACACACACACGCACACACGGCAAACAAGGGAGGCAAGGGCTGCTTTGGGTTTTGCCTTGACCTCGTGTCGTCCTGGGGGGGCCTCCAGGTATGTCATCAACCTTCAAAAAGGAGGTCTTTGGCTCTAGAAGAATTTCAAAGGCATTCATGAAGCAAACACAGTGAGTTCAAAAACAAACCCTTGAATTTTTTAAGTGAAATAGGACGAACTGGAACAATCCATCCTCTGCCCAGCTAGCCTGGTGTCTGTGAGGAACGATGGAAGCATCATAGCACCAAGGCCTCCATAGACAGTGCCGTTGGGCTCGGCCTCTGGAGCTCAGCTGATTTCCCAGAATCAGGACCCACACCAAGACAGGCTGTGTGCTTCTTATCAAGAAAGGTCTTATGTACCCAGTTCACCCAGTTCACCCAGTACCAAAGAGACCAGAGAGAGGTGGTCAAACACAGAAAACATCCCTTGGTTAACTGAAGTTTATTGTGTGACCCAATCAAGAGAGGGGAGGCTTTTGTTTACCCTGGAGATTGATGGGCCTTTGGGTTTCCCAGACGACAGATCGCCTCCAAGCATGTGCCACCAATATTAACGTTACTATTGTTCTGTTTGCTCTGCTTGGTAAACAAAAAACCCTAAATGAAAACCATATACCTGTTCTATGTTGCTGAGGAAAAATGTATGCCTTCTGCTTGGGTCCGAGAGATTTCTAGTTGTCAGGGGAAATTTTGCCTGTTTAATTCTCTGTCTCTGTTTCTCCTGATCTCTCTCTCTCTCTCTCTCTCTCTCTCTCTCTCTCTCCTCTTTCTTCTCTCTGTCCCTCCTCATATCTCTCTTTTTCCTCTCCTTCTCTCCTTCCCCATCTCTCTCTGTCTCTCTCCTTTTTCTCCTTTTCTCTCTCTATCTCTCCCTCCCTCCCTGGTCTATCTGTCTATCTCCCCTTCTCTCTTCTTCCCTCCTTGCCTCCCAGAAGGCGTGCTTGTCTAAAAAACAGAGTATAGCATTTTTTCTTTCATGTGAGTGATATAGTGTGCTTGTGTTCCAGTCTCACCTCTGACATACTGACTGTGTAACCATGAACAAATCCGATCACCTAACAGTGTTTTAGGAAACTCTTTAAGAGCAGAAATTACAGAGAAATGCTGATTAGCATTGGGAGAGGGAATTTATGCAAAAGAAATCAAAGATTCAATCCCTATTCCTATGTAAACGTAAAAATGAAAATCACGGTCAATCATTTCATCATCGCTGACGAGAATTAAGTACCAGACGTTCTGCTAAGTTGGGGATAGAAAGACAAGAGTAACAGAATTCCTCCTTTCAAGAAGCTTCATTCCAATGGTGGGGACATACCATTGCCTGCATTAACTATATGCAAAGTAGATACTAGATGATTTGTGAGCCTAGCCATGGGGCGGGGCATCAGGAAAGACTTCATGCAGGAGCTTTGCTCTTGAGCTGAGCTTTGAAGGGACTTGGGCATCCTAAGAAGCGGACATGATGATGGAGTGTATTCCAGGTGTGGCGGACAGTATGGGCAAAGGTGCGTGCAGAGATATTTGATGGGCCAGTCTGGCTGGACAGCGGAGTGTAGGAAGGCAGATGCTTCAAGCTAAAGGACCCTCAGAAGA